TGGTGTGCCTGGCCTAGGGGCTGCTCGAGCTGCTCAGGTGGCCCTCAAGCCACGCACACCAGCTGCTGCAGAAGTCGGAGAGGTCAGGGAAAATCATAGAATCCATGAATTCCATGACAAACAAAAAGCCTTAATTGTAATGCTTTAGCTTGCATAGAACAGTACTTAGTTTTAGATTTGAGGCTCACAAAGCACAGTTCCATCAATCATTGCAGGAAAAAAGAAAGTGTCTGCAATTCCACCTACCCCAGTAATCACATGGTGGAACAGCTGGTTTGAAGCTGTCCATTTGCATACCAACCACCTGCAGGATTATGTGGACTTTTCTGAGGAGGAGTGTGAGCGAAGCTGTAGTTCATCAGTTGCAGATGTGATCACTTTAAGTAAATCAACAGAAATAAAAGCAGATATTGCAACAATTAAAGCATTTGCACCAAGAATAATGGCAACTTTCACAGCTTATGAAAAACCAGGAATCAGATCACATAAGGTGTTCAATGATTTCGTCGATCTTGCCAGTTGGGCAAAGTCCTTCAGTGGCATGACTAACCACCTGTTAGCTAAGAAAGCCCTTTGCAAAAAACAGTGATAAAATCGAAGCCTACATGACTGGTTCTGAATGGTCAACCCACTGCCAGTTTTCTTAAAGCCTGCCGAATGTTTGATTCCAATCAGGCCAAACTTCTTGAGCTTGCATCACCAAATGTATCGGAGTCTATTCCCATATTTGAAGACAATGAGATGGCAAAAGCCGAGTTTTGTAGTTACAGCAGTGCCGTTTCTGAAATGAAGTGCCTTGACATTCTGGAATTTTGGTGCAACTTAAAGTCTGGCTGTAAAATCTCAGAGGAGTTTATTGGTGCCCAATAACAGTGTGGACTGCAAGAGATCGTTTTCATCTTACAAAGATATCTTGTGAGATGGCAGACGCTCAATCAAAGATGACAGCCCGGGAATGTACAACATGTTGTTTCAGAATCATGGAAAGCTCTGTTAGTAAATGACCAATCTCAGCTTCATTTCTGCCAGATGGCCAAGGCAATTCCAGTTCCCCAGTATTCTTCAGATGTCAGCATGCCCTGTATCAGTATCCAATCCTTTCTGGACCTATTGATCCAGGACAAGGGCAGGATCAGGCATCACAGTCAAGATTCCCTCCATCTGACAACATGGTTGGATAGGTGTTGAATTTAGAAAGGACATGTTTGGAAACTGTTCAGGCCATCCTTAAAAACAGTAGGAAGAAATTCACTACAAAGTGCTACACAGCTAAGTAGAAAGGTTCTGTCCGGATTCAGTATCACCATATAACCACAAATGACCTTGACATTCCCACCACATTAGAATATCTTCTTTCCTTAAAGACTTCAAGGCTTTTCCTTAGCTCCCTATGGCAATTAGCAATTATTTCCAAATGTCACCTCAGATTGAAAAATCACTCCATCTTTG